GAGGAGGTGAACAAGCAGGCGGTGTTCGAGTTCGAGTCGGCCGCCCGGCAGTTCATGGTGAGCACCCTGCGCGTGGCCAAGAGCTTCCGCCCCAAGCAGCTCTGGGGGTTCTACCTCTTCCCCGACTGCTACAACCACGACTACAGCAAGAACAAGGAGAGCTACACCGGGCAGTGCCCAGATGTGGAGAAGACACGCACCCACCAGCTGGCATGGCTCTGGAGGGAGAGCATGGCCCTCTACCCCTCCATCTACCTCGACCTGCTCCTGGCATCCCCCCCCAACAGCCGCAAGTTTGTGCGGGCGCGGGTGATGGAGGCCATGCGCATCTCGCAGCAGCACCACGATGGCTACTCGCTTCCCGTCTTTGTCTACACCCGGCCCACCTACATCCGCAAGCTGGATGTGCTCAGCCAGGTAGGGCTGTGCCACTGGGATGTCATCCCAAGCCCTGGGCACCTGGGCTCTGGGGTCAGCTGAGGTGGTCCCTCTGCCCGTGTCCCATCCTGGCCCACAGAGTGGGATGGCTCTGGAGGCCGGTGGCTGCTTTCATGGTGTCACCAGCACCCTGTGGTTTGGCTGTCCTCATGAGGGGTGGGAAGCAGCATCCTTTGGCATGGGCTTGGCTCTGGGGACCAGGAGGGGTGCCTGGCCCTGCCTCGCTCCCTGGGGGGGGAGGAGGGCAGTCACAGTGTGGGGACCCCCAGCTCAGCCCCTCTGTGGGTGAATATTAGGGTGCCACAAACCATCCGTCCCCCTGCGCCTATGGGCAAGGTCTCTGACAGCAGGACCAGCACCAATGGTCACCATCACCAGGGAAGCACCTGGAAGGTGCCGCAGGACTCCGGGGTCCCAGCAGCTGGGACCCCAGGGTACATGAGCCCACAGCCCCTGTGCTGTGCTGGCTTAGCCCCTGAGGAGGAGGAGGGTGGTGGTGGTGGGGAGCCTTGTCCCCAAGGAGCTGAGACAGTCACCTCTTCCCATGCCCTGGAGCAGGGATGGGTCATGCCTCCTTGACCCTGCAGCGGGCTCTCTGGGGTGCACTGTGCTGGGGAGTGTGGGTGCTGCGTGGGGTCCGTGGGCACTGACTGGGCTCTGTCCCTGCAGCTGGACCTGATATCCACCATTGGAGAGAGCGCGGCGCTGGGTGCAGCTGGGGCCATTTTCTGGGGTGATGCAGACTACACCAAAAACCGGGTAGGTTTGGGGTCAGTGTGCCCCAGGGGTGGTAGCTCATGGGTGGGAGGTCATCTGCCTCCAGAGGGGGACCAGTGGCTTGAGGCTGGGGCATTTATCTGGGGTGCTTCTTCCCCTGGGGCACCCCAACATGCCCCTGATGCCCCCCTTTCCCCAGGACTCATGCCAGATCATCAAGAACTACCTGGAGGGGGACCTGGGCCGCTACATCGTGAATGTCACGACGGCGGCACAGCTCTGCAGCACAGCACTGTGTCAGGGCCGGGGCCGCTGCCTGCGCCAGGACAGCACTGCTGATGTCTTCCTCCACCTCAACTCCACCAGCTTCCAGCTGCGACGCCGGGATGGGAACCACCCCCAGCGCCCCCTCTTCTGGGCCGAGGGCCAGCTGTCCTTGGCTGACACACTCTTCCTACGGACCCACTTCCGCT